GCTACAGATGGGCATTATGTGCCTGGGACACCGGGTTCCCCTGAGAATGGCTGCGTGGTGTGGTCTGTCTTGCTGCTGTTGTGTAGAGGTGGGAAAGCTGAAGGTGTTTCAGTATGGGCAGGGCACTCCTGTGTTATGCAATCTCTGGTGGAAAGGAATGGGGAGACTCAGGCTTTATTTCCAGCTCTTGGCCACTCCGGGTGTGCTGCTCCTACCGATACAGCCCCGAGTGTATAAAGATGCCTTAAAAATCTACTGACCAAGCTCTGCAGATGTTCAGCAGTTTGGCTTTGGTGAGATGGAGCTTGCAGGGGAAGAATGGTTGGTGTTAGACCATGGCCGTGACTGGGGGAACTGAGTGAGCCATTTCTCAGCTCTGTAACAGAAGCTGCACACTTCAGATTCTGTCATTTTCTGCTTATAAACTGAAACTTGTATTTATTAAGCAGTTTAGGCCAAAAAAACAAGCAATGAGACTCGGGCTGCTCTGGGCCACAGCACCCAAAGTGCTTGGTGGTTTGTGGGGTTCCGTGGGCTTTGGTGCTTTAGTAACCTAAAACATATGTCCAGCCCCTGCTGACAGTGCTTTATCAGGGCACAGCAGGGGTGGGCCTTGTGTAGCTTGTGGACCTGGCAGCGTTTTGGGGGTTGTAGCTTCCCAGCCATGGGTGTTGCTGTGCAGAAGGTGAGGCAAAGCCTTCCAGGTGGCTGCAGTAAAGCCTCATGGCCTCCTCTCCACAGGCTTGGTGGGTTCTGTGGCTGATTGAGCCTGTTTGGATGATCTGAGCCAGCTGTGGATTAGTTAATGTTTGTCTTGAATGTGATTTCAAAACCCTTGAAGGAGGATTCCTGTCTTTGATCCATCTGGGCAGAAAGGGCTGTGTTCCTGCGAGGAGCTGCGTCGTACTGGAAGCCATCAGGACTCCCTGCTGAAGTTGAGATGCTGGGATGGGCGATAGCGGAGCGGAGGCAGCCAGCTGAGCCTTTGAAACGTGCAGGGCTCTTCCACAGGCCGGAGAAATGGGAGAAATTCTCCTGCCTTCCATTTCTGCTGGTGGAGGCAGGATGGAGCCCTGGCAATCCAGAGCAGTGAATGAGATGGAGTGTGTCCACTCCATCCAGGGTGTTGTGGATCTTGCGGCTGTGTTCCTGCTGTGATGGCACCAGTGAGTGTACAAGTGGGGAGCAGCCCACTCTGGGATGCTTTGGGATCATCCTTCCTCCTGCATCAATACGGCAAGAACCTCTTCCCCACAAAGATAGATACCCAGCACTGATGGACTGTGGGAAGGGCGATGCCGTGGGAGGTCAGACATTGGCTCCTGCTGATGGGATAGAGCAGCCAGTTTGTTGTGGCCTCTCCTGAGGTCCCCAGCCTTGACTAAGTAACTAAGCCTCTCCATGTGCCTCTGGAGCTGTGGTGGGACAGAGCCTGCAGCAAACAAGGCCTTGCTGTTTGGGTGTAACTGTGTTTCGAGCTGAAGCTGGCAGCATTTGTGTCTTTGTTCTCTGTGTTTTCCTGGCCTTACCCAAAGAGCGAAGGCAGAACGTGTTCTCAGGGTGTTTCACGTCTTGGATGCAAAACTGCATCCTGGCTCCTTGGTTCCTTGTCCAGGCGGGCAGAGCAGTGTGGGCATGCCAGTGGTCCCCTGCCGTGCCCAGAGTGGGGATCACCTCCGGATCCCCACTGTGGTGCATGAGCCCAGGCATCTCCTTCAGAGCAGGAGGGATGAACGGAGCTGCTCCCGATGGCACCATGAGCCTCCTTCCTGGGCAGATGTTGCCCGATGGGGGTGGAAGGACCCAGGACGGCTCGGCCGGGCTGGTGCTGGTGTCTCCAGGGGTGAAAGCCTGGGTGGAGCTGCGGAAATCATGCGGCCGGACCGGGGCTGAGAAGGTCCCGAGGCGCCGGATGCGCAGGGGAGGCTGCGCTGTCCTCAGAGGAGCTGCGGACTCAAGGCTGTGACCATGGCTCGGAAGCGGGTAGGGCGCCCTGCTGCTGCTTTGCCTGCCACCTCGCTGCTCTGTCCCCACAGCAGCTTGCTTGGGGAGCTTGTCACCAGGAGCCCCTTCTGCTCATCCGCTCTCAGGGCTGGGGGATGCTTGCTCCATTACTGCACTTGCTGTTGGGGACCTTGGCACCGTGCTGCACCCCAGCAGGTTGGGTCCTTCTGTGGTCCCTCTGTGTTTCCCTGTGCTCTGCAGGACCCTGCTCCTTGCCAGTGATTAATTGTGCTGTCTTAATGCCTGTAGCACCCAAACTGCAGGGTCTGGGTGTGGGACTTGGCATCTTTCTCCTATACCTTCCCCGTTGGCATTGCCCATCTGCATCTCCTGCCACCGCTGCACTCTGGCTGCCTGCTCCTGGGTCCCCTTTGGGAGACGTGGCCTTGCCCAGGTGCTGCTTTGCTGGTATCAGCAGCACCGTTTGATATCTCATGTAAATAGATCTGAAAGGGAGCAGATGGATTTTCTGGGGCTTGCTGGAATAGCACCCTTCAGGCTGGTTACGGATGGGAGCCCTGGGCACGCTGCCGCGGCGCATGGAGACAGGCTGCAGCCTGCAGCAGATTGCTTGGTCTGGGACAAGCAGCCTTGTCTGCAGTCCATAAATTTCTTGTTGGTTGTGTGTGTTTTTGTCTCACTCGCGGGTACCGGCTCTGTTGACCTTGAATGGAGCTTGCAGGGAGTAAATAAATGCTGGCTAATTGCACATTAGGCTCCTTTGTTGCTTCTAACCTTGGCAGTTGTCTGGCCAGTGTGACCTAGATCAGAGCAGGAGCCCTGTGAGGAAGCCCAGTGCTGCTCTGGGGGGTTCCCAGCACTCCTGGGGCGGGGGGTGGGGGTGTCATGGCTCTGTGGTCTTCAGGGTCACCCCATGGCTGTGGAACAGCATTGCCAGTGATACCTCTCCTCCTCCTCCAGGTGAAGGCCTGTGCAGGGAGCTGGAGCTGGTTTCCCTTTACCCTGCTCCTGTTTGTGCCCTGGATGTGCCCTGCTTCCATCACAGCCCGCCCTGCTGTGATTTCCCCCCTTGTCCGGCTGGGATAGCCTCCTCCCGGCTCTTCCCACCGTGCTGACACCGTGAGCTCCTTTCAGAGCCTCTGCCAGTCACTGATCCCTCCTGGAGCCAGGCAGCGGCAGGACAATGGTCCCCATTCAGCTCTGTGTGGAGCTGGATCTCAGCAGGGATGGGCCCATCTCCTGCTCCCTGCACCAGCTTCTCTTATCTCTGCTGGCCCCCAGCACAGAGCGGGGATGAATGGGGAGATCAGGTTCTTTCTTTCATAAATCCACCCTGGGTGGATTTTGGCCAATACACCAGCGTGGTGGGGAGCACCCAGCCACCAAACGCACACACGGGTGCTTGGTGCCTCCCTGTGCACCCCACCTCTCTGCCCTGCCCTGGGTATAGGGCAAGAAAGACACCCCAGATGAAGGCAATGAGGGTGTGCAAGGTGGCTTGCTTGGTGGGACAGGTTGTGTTTTCCCTCTAAGGGACAAAAGCAGGCAGCAGGGTTTCTGGTGCTCCAAAGGCAGTGAAGCAGCCTCTGTGGAAGCCCCTGATCTTGGGTGGTGAGATCAGCTGCCCTAGGCATAGCTGCCCTGTGGGTTGCAGGGCATGGGGTGGAAAGAGCCATCTCCATCACCCAGGACTGCAGACCTCCCTCTTGGGCTTCCCCTAAAGCTGCGGTCCCCCTTCTCCCCCATCACCAATGGCTGGGAGTGACAGTGAACTTGTACCCTGCAGCAGGACTAAAGCTGCAGGAGAGTGTGGGGCAGTTGGTGGTCCTTGGGTCCAGCTCCTGCTGCCCCAACAGGTCCCTGGCTTTCAGCTCAGTTGTTCCCCTCCTCTCCAGGTTGTGCAGCGCATCAAAGCCGTGGAGACAGAGACCCGCTTGCTCGTGGTGGACAAGGAGACGGACGAGTACCTGTGCAGCCTGCGCCTGACGTGCACGGAGGACATGGTGCACAGCGGGATCCTGCTCAACTCCAGCGTATCTCCCTCCAAGTCAGTGGGCAGCGACAACGGGGAGGTGTGGAAGCCGCAGCGGGGGCCGAGCGGGGGCACACTCAACGGGGACAGCCTCCAGCGCCACTCGCACAGCTTCTCCTCGCACGGCAGCAGGAAGGTGAGGGTGAGGTGGGGAATGGGTGCAGACACCCTGGGGGCACATCCCTCTGCTTCCCATTGGGAAATACCTTCTGGAGGTGGCTGTTGGCTATGGGGATCCCGCTGTGTCCTGGAGCAGCGGGTGAGCAGCACCCCCTTGGGCTCATTTGTTCTTGCTCAGTGTTGGCTGCTGGAGCTGTGCTGGTCTTTTGTCCCTGTGTCTCTCAAGGGTCTCCAGGAGCTGCTGGGGTGTCATCAGCCCTGGGGTGAGTGACCCCATGGTGCCTCAGCTAAGGTTGTGTCCTAGCCTGGGTCTTGTCCACCGTGGGGACAGGCTGCATGGACCGGGGGTGAGATGAAGCTGAACCTCCTGAATGAGCTTCTCTCCCCTGTTACATGCAGGAGGGAGGGAACATCTGGGACGAATGTATTCTCAGCTTTTTTGCTTAAATAGGGAGGAAATTAGCTCTTTTTCAAGTGGCCAGGGCCTGGACTGCGATTCTGCAGTGAAGTGCCTTTTATTGGTAAACTCCTTTCCAAAAAGGAAAGAATTTGGGGTGGAAAAGGTCCAGTTTCCATGGCTGCCTCGCCGTTGGGGCTGTGCTGGAGACAGCGCAGCCTCGCACTCAGCAGATAACATTGGAGCACTGCACTCCTTGGGGAGGACGTGCCACAAGCTGTTGTGAGGCTGACAGTGACTCCAGCACCTCTGCAGCACTATCCCCTTCTATGTCCCTGCTCTGCAGCCATCCTGCCCTGCTGGGCAGGGAGCAAAGATGCTTGACAGCCGCCTCCATCACGGAGCTGCCATAAGCGCACTCCTCCTCCTCTTCCTCCTCCTCCCTGTGGAGCTGCAGTGCCTGGTTGGCCTCTGTTCCCCCACCTCAGAAGCGGGTGGTGGCTGGATGCTGGCCCAGAACTTGCTGGTGGGAGGTGGGAAAGTTGGGAAAGCTTCATGTCCTCAGGAGCTCCCAATGGAGAAGCAGCTGAAGACATTCCCTGTGCGGATAAGAGGCGATGCTGGCATGAGGCACATGCGTCGCCGGTGATGAGGAGGTTTCACCCCTGGTCCTTCCCTCTGGAGCTGTTTGGCATCTTGCAGAGGAGGATCCCCCTTCCCTGGGCTGGCTGGGGCAGGGTTGGAGGCACTGTTTGTTTACCTACTGCATGATTTAAAGGTCCATATGATGGTGATGGGGGTCAGTGCAGTAGGGTTCTGGTTGCCCCCAGGATGGTCAGTGGGAGAGGAGCTGTTCTGGGCAGGGCTGGGGATGGCATTCCAAGCTGGGGATTTCCTATCCTGTCTCTGTTTCATTTGCTGGTTCCAATCCAACAGCGAGTGCTGACGGGAAGTCAGGCAAGGGGAACAGGACAGTCCTTTCCGGCCTTTGGGTCTCGGCTCCTCCAAGGAGAGGGTGGGACAGGGAAAGGAGGGAGACGTGCCTGAGCTTCAGAGGGGCTGGGGCACTTGATGCTCATTGTGCTGGAGCTGGTCTTTGGTGGAGCCTGAGCCTGACAAAGGGGGATGGACTCTGGGGTGATGCCCCCAGTGTGGGGCTGGGGACAGGGCAGTGCAGAGGCTCAGGTCAATGGCTGGTTTGCTCCTGACTTCACAGGTCATAGCTCTCTGTAGAGCAGGGTGCTGCAGGCTTTCCTGGCCAAGGTCACTTCTCCATTCTAGGGCTGTGAGTGACCCTGGTATGAGGGTTTCAAGGGGGTAAGACCTGCCCCAGGCTCTCAGTCTGGGTGATGCGGTGCTCCAGCTATACCCCATACAGCTGGAGGCCAGGGGAGTGATGGTGGGCCCAGTTCCTGCAGTGCTCAGCGCTCCAGCACCGTGTCCTCCCCTGGGATAGCTCTAACCTGACCCTTATCCTGCAGGTCACAGGCACTGGGACGAGCAGTTCCAAGCCTGGGGGGCTGTTTGGGGGGTTTCTGTCCCTGCTCTGGGGCTGTGTCAGCTGGAATCCACTCTGAGATTTGCCCCCAGCCACATTTGGGGCTTTTGAGGCTGTTTAGTGAAGGAGAAGAGCAGCTCCCTTCCCCCTGCAGGCCCGTGGGAGCCGGTGCTGATGCTCGGGGCTGCTCCGAGGGAGCAGCATTTGTTTATGTAAAGCTGCAGTTTTCCTTGATTTGAGGCCGGGTTGTTCAGTGCAGCCCGAAGCAAGGAGTGACTGAGACAAAGGGGAGGGAAATTGGCACCCGGGGTGGGAGGTGGTGCAGGGTGGGGATGGCCAGCATGGCCCCCAGCGTTGTTCCGCATGGGGAGGTCAATGTGCGCCCCTGGCTGAGACCTGGGATCCAGGAGCCAGGGTAATGCCACGAATGATTTGGGATGTATTTAAATCCTGCTGCTGGCAGCAGGGCTGCACCCACAGCAGTGCTGCCATCCCCAGCACCCTGGGGACTTGTGACCATGGTGGCACTGGGAGCAGGGTCTGCTTTGCCCCATCCCACATTGCTGCATGTGGAGGGGTTTGACATGCTGCATCTCATGGGAGTGGAAGCCACAGGGCACATGTTCCCTGTCCCACCAGGCTGCTTTCTGCTTTCCCCAGGGCTCTGGCTCTATCCTGGCTGGATGCTTTGGAGGTGTTAGGAGCTGCTCTGGGTTGTGTTGAGTGCTGGGTGCCTGGTTGTGAGCTGCTTTTATTGCAAAGGTGCCTTTGCAGGGGGAGCTGGTGGTGGCTGTTATGGAATGCCTGGGCTAACTGCATGGAAAAGGCAGCGTGCTGCAGGGCTGGTGCTGAGCTGTGCTGCCTGGGAGTGAGACACTGGCACAGGGTGCCCAGAGGAGCTGTGTCTGCCCCATCCCTGGCAGTGTTCAAGGCCAGGCTGGACACAGGGGCTTGGAGCAACCTGCTCTAGTGGAAGGTGTCCCTGCCCGTGGCAGGGGTTGGAGCTGGAGGAGCTTTAAGGTCCCTTCCAACCCAAACCAGTCTATGTCCTTGGGACTTGCTGCCTCACAGCCTCCTCCAGGTGTGTTTGTAGGAGAAACAACAACCATAAAGCCACTGAGACACGTTCGCAGTGATGCAGTTCCCCCCCATCACTGCTCTGGTCCCAGCAGGGCTGTAGGGGGTGGGTGTGCAAAGGGACCTTTGCATTGGAAAACAAACCCACATCTTGTAGCTGCCAGATTCAAGCAGCGTGTTGGACCTGGGAATTTTAATGGAGGGGAATTAGGAGCCGGTTGTTAATTGGTCTCTGCCTGGGGAGGGACAGTGTCACCTGAGCACTGCTGCTGGCAAAAGCTGCGTGGCAGGAGCTGGTGTGCCTTGGGACAGAGGCGTCGGGCTCCGGAGGAGGATGGATGGGTGCCTGGGTGCCTGTTGGGACCTGTAGGTGTGTGGCAGCACTGACATCGAGGCAGTAAATATTTACACTCGTGTTTGGGTCAGGAATAAGAGCTTTTTGTGCTGATTTGCAACATCCTGAGGCGGCAGCTTTCTGCCATAGCGCTGGAAGGGGAATAACTCGGGACAGATGTTTTGGGAGAACTTTGCCAACTCAGTTGAGGCCCAAAATTTAGGGCTTGTAGAATAACCACAAAGATGTAATAAACCCGCCATGAGCAGAAATGTCTGCAGTAATTATGTGATTAAAAGAAAAATACCAAAAACTAAAGGGCATGGCTTCAATTAAAGCACTTCCCTGCAGCATCCTGCACTCCCCAGCCCTGGCTCCAACCTGGACCTCTGTGCAGGCAGAGCTTGGGGAAACCCATGGAGCTGTGCCCGTGTCCCTGCAGCATTCCCTGCCCTTCCCACTGCAGCTCGTTAGGTGGGTGCTGCCAGCCTTGCCTTTGGGATCAGTGCCTTGATTTGGTCCCAACGGCAGCGGTGGAGCTGTGGGGAAGCCTCGGCCCCATGTGGGCACTGACCCTGCTGCATTATTGATGGTGCTGGGCTCCCGGCATCGTGTGTCACGGGGCAGAGTCAGTGCTGGTGCTGCGGGTGGGCTCAGGAGCAGCTCCAGCTCCAGCAGTGTGGGGATGGAGGTTGGGGCATGGAGAGGAGAAGGCTCCAGGGAGACCTCAGAGCAGCTCGCGGGGCCTAGAGGGGCTATAAGAAGCCTGGAGAGGGGCTTTGGACAAGGGATGGAGGGACAGGACAAGGGGAATGGCTTTAACCTGCCAGAGGGGAGACTGAGATGAGCTCTTGGGCAGAAGCTCTTCCCTGTGAGGGTGCTGAGGTGCTGGCACAGGGTGCCCAGAGAAGCTGTGGCTGCCCCATCCCTGGCAGTGTTCAAGGGCAGGTTGGACACAGGGGCTTGGAGCAACCTGCTCTAGTGGAAGGTGTCCCTGCCCGGGGCAGGGGTTGGAGCTGGAGGAGCTTTAAGGTCCCTTCCAACACAAACCAGTCTGGGGTTGTGTGACTTTGTCCTGTCACCCAAAGCACCCCAGAGCTATGGGATGAAGGGAGGGCAGCAGCTCTCCTGCCCGGGCTCAGTGTGGGCAGCGGGTCCATGGAGGAGCTCACTGGGGGTTATTTCAGTGCCGGGGCAGTGCAGGAAGCCCCTCCCGGGGAGGGGAGCATCCACCCCGTGCAGAGACTTCCTCTGCTGTGATATTTTTAGTGAAACACAAAGCGAGTGGAAGGGAGCGGGAGGCAGGAGGCAGATTAGCATCAGCAGGAGCGGTGCCCTGCCAAGGGCCTTTGTTCCTGGGGCCACACGCTCTCAAGGGACACATGGTCCTGTGGGGGGACATTGGGGTCACCCCTGGTACCCTGCACCTCCCTGCGAGGGGGTAAAGAGTGTGTGGGGTGTTTGCATCCCAGCCTGTTGCCTGGATGCGGAGTGGTCGTGGTGCTGACACCAGGAGATGCTGCTTGTGGTCCAGCCATTGATGCTTCCTTCTGCATCCTTGAGTAATCCAAAACTTTCCCTCAAAATGATTGGAAAACTGGTATTAAATGGGAGGCATTGGGAATGCAGCTTGCTCCGGCACAGCCAGCCCCGGCCCTCTCCTCTGCTCGCGGGGATGCGCTCGGGCAGCTTGCTTTAATAACAGCCCCA